CAGGATCCTGGTTCTGGATTCCGGATGGGGTGGGAGGGCGGAATCAGGGAGCAGCTGGAAGCACTGGGGGCTGTCACAGAGGAAACCCCCACTCTCCCCAGCCGTGGGACCTAGGCAGGTCTCCTTCCTTCTGCGAGCCTCAGATTCCTCAATGGTAAAATGGGAGAGCCATCCCTGCTCCTCAGGGGCAGCTGTGGGGGATGAGAATGTCCACAAAGTGCTGAGGACAGTGGCCCCCAATCCCTGGGCTGGAGGGGAGGGAGCCCAGAGGTTTCTTAATCAGAGCCAATGAGGGGGCTCAAACACTGGCCCTTGAACCTCCCTCTCTCCCCGTCCTCCATTATCTGTCCTGCTCCCCCCTACCAACCCCCGCCCCCAGCCCTCATCTTCTGTCTCTCCTTCCCTCATTCTATTGCCTCTCTCTCTCTGCCCTCCATTTTCTCCAGTTTGGTGGCCTTCAGGGACATACCTTTGTCCTCCTAGGGGCCCCACCCTGCCACCAGGAGGTTTTGGGACTGAATGTTCCTGGAGCTGGGTGCAGTGAGATGAGGCTTCGCTACCACTGGCTTGATGCCCATGCCCTGCCCATGCCACTCCCGGTCAAGGTTACCTTCACTCCACTTAACAGTGGCTTGGCCAAGGCCTGTACCTGGGCTGACTTTGAAGCGTATAGACTTGAGCTATTTCTAATGGGTGCCAGCCAATTCTACTCTGCAAATTGCTTCTGCTGCGGCCCAGCCCATGCCTCTCGGTGCCAATCCATTCCGTTTCCTCATCCCTAGGAAAACATCAGGATATAAGCACTCCTACATCGAGGCGTGTGAGGCCCAAATGAACTAATGCACGTGAAGGGCTTAGAACCAAGCAGGTGCCGTGTACGTGAAGGCTGTGAAGCAGATTCCGCCATGTTCTGTTTATCAAGCTGTATGTAATTCTGAGTCACCTGAATAAGCATCAAAGCTCCTCACTCCATTTCGGGAATTGAATCAATCACAGATGGAGAATTCCTTGGATTCAAAGGAGGCCTGATGCCAAGATTGGACCCTCCAAGCACATCACAAACACCTACTACATGTCTTTTTCCCCCAAGGAAACTGTGACAATTTACCAGGGTGAACGTACCTGGGGGAGAGGGAAAAATCCAGATCTTTGGGATATCTGAACCCTGAGTTTAATATAGTCCCTGGAGACACAGTGCCACTGAGGTCTACGACTCCGTTGGGGGGGAGCCTGGTCTTCTCACCACCCCACCACCTTGCTGGTCCACTACCTTGATGACATCATGCTGATGAGACTTGATGAGCAGGAAGTAGCTGGCACCCTAAGTCCCCTGGTAAGATACATGCATGCCTATGTAGGAGATCCAGACCATAGGAATTCAGGGACTGGTACCTTGTGATGCCTCTGGAGGTCTAGAGGTCTGGGCATGTCATGTTTGCTCCTCCAAAGTGAAAGGCAAGTTTGCTGCATTGTGACCACCCCACCTCCCCTGCCAAAAAAGCAGCATTGCATTTGGTGGGCCTGTAGAATGTGGGGGCATGGTGTTCAATACATGGGTAAATTATTCCTACCCATTTGCCAAGTTATCCACAAGCCTCCCCCTTGGAAGAGAGCCCAGAGGAAGAGAAGTTTCCAGGTGGTGTAGGCTGCGGTGCAGGCAGCTGAGGCAGATGGGCCAACTGACTCAGCACACACAATGGTGCTCAATGAGGATGAGCGTGTCAGGATGTTGTATGGACCCTATGGCAAGCCCTGGATGGAAGAATCACAGGGAAGGCCCTTGTTTGTTGTGTTGTTGTTTTGAACAGTGTTATCGAGGTATTATATCCACATGGACGAAACTGCGTGTATTTAATGTGTGGAATTAGTTAAGTTTTGGCTCATGTATATACTGTGAAGCCATCACCATAATCAAGGTAATGAACAAATTCATTACCCCCCAAAGATCCCTCGTGCCCTTCTGTAATCCGTCCCTCCAGCCTTTTCCCCTGTCCCCAGGCAAGCACCAATCCATTTTCCAATTTTGAGACTTTCATAAAAACGGGATCACACAGTAAAGAAAGAGTCCTCTTTCTTTATGTCTGGCTTTTTTCACTCAGCATAATTATGTGTAGATTTCTCCATCTTGTGGCACCTATCACTAGTTCATTCTTTTTTTTTTTTGCTGCGTAGTATCCTTTGTATGGATATACCACCGTTTCTTTACCCGCTCATCTATCGATGGACAGTTGGGTTTCCAGCTTTTGGCTATTGCATATGAGGCCGCTTGTGAACATTCATGTATAAGTCTCATATGGACATATTCCTTAGAACTGGAATGACCAGGTCATAGGGTAGGTATATATTTATGTTTTTAAGAAACTGCCGAACTGTTTTCCAGAGTGGTTATACCATTTTATATCCCCACCAGCAGTGTAGGAGAGTTCCAGGCCCTCCTCATCCTTACTAACACCTGCTATAGGTCAGTCTCTTTAGCTTTACGCTCTCTGATTAACATGTCCTGGCATCTCATTGTGGCTTTAATTTGCATTTCCCTAATGACTAGTAATGTTGGGTATCTTTTATGTGCTTGTTTGTGATCCATATATCTTATTTGGTGAAGTGTCTGCTCAAATAGTTTGCCCATTTTTTTTTTTAAGTAGGCTCTATGCCCAGTGTGAAGCCCAACACAGGGCTTGAACTCACGACCCTGAGATCAACACCTGAACTGAGATCAGGAGTCGGATGCTTGACTGACTGAGCCACCCAGGCGTCCCCAGCTTGCCCATTTTTAAATTGAGTTACGTGCTTTCTAATTATTAAGTTTTGAATCCTTTATATATTTTGAATATGAGTTCCTTATTGACTGTTATCATTAGCAAATATTTTTCTCCCAGGCTGTAGACTGTCTTTTTCATTCTCCTAACAGTGTATTTCAAAGAGCAGACACTTTTATTGTTTATGAAGTCCAATTTATTGATTTTTTTCTTTCATGGATTATGCTTTTTGTGTTGTAGCTATGAAATCTTTGCCGAAGCCAGGACCACAGAAATCTTCTCCTATGTTTCTTCTATATGTTTTATATACATTTATATACTTATATACATTTATATAATTTAGGTGTATGAATCTACTCTGAGTTACTTCTTACTTATGATGCAAATAGTAGATTGGAGGATGTGTGTGTGTGTGTGAGTGTGTGTGTGTTTTAACATATGGAAGAGCGCTTGTTCTAGCAGCACCATTTGTGGAGATGACTATCTTTTCTCCATGGGTGTGCTTGTGAACCTTTCTCAAAAATCAGTTGTATATCTATGTGTATTTTTGGACTCTAAGTTCTGCTCTAATAGTGTATTTGTCTGGCTTTACACCAATACCACACTATCTTGATTACTGTGGCTTACTCCAAAACAAAGACATAATTGATAAGGGGAAATTTGTGTGTGCGTGTGCGCGCATGTGTGTGCGTATATATATATTTAACTCATTTTTTCAAATAGGCACACTTGCCAAGAAAAAACTTTTATTTTCCTTGGAAAGTGAGAGCTTCTAAGACGCTTTCCCAGGCTCCACCCCCTTCCCATCTCTAGGTGCTGTCTGATCAGGGCAAGGGAGATAGAACTAATACTTCCCACCTCCTAGGGACATATATACTTTTTAAAATATGACTCAAGATCACATTTAGCTTTGTAGTGAGATTACTGTTGATTCACTTAGAGCTTACTATCAACTAAGACTTCTTTTTCTGTTAAAAGTGATCCTGCTAAGCCAGGTCAAGTCAAACCCTCTGTACTGAGCAATGTGCACTTGATAATACATGATTTTTGATTAATAATTATATGTCAAGCCTCATGCTAGGTATTTTACATAGTAAATTATTATTATGGCTACCACATACTGAACATTTTTAGTATGTGCCAGATATTGTGCCAGACATTTGTTTTTAATGCTATGGGAATTTATTGGCCGATGTAACTCAAGGGTCTAGGGATTGTAAGGCTTCAGACACAGTGTGATCAGGCTTCATGCGCTAAGCATTTGCATACTTCGTTCAAGCCTTACAACACCACTTTATTACTTTTTTGTTGAAGACACTCAGGCTTTGAGAAATGACGTCACTGGGGTGCCTGGGTGGCTCAGTTGGTTGAGCATCCGACTCTTGATTTCAGCTCAGGTCATGATCCCAGGGTTGTGAGATCAAGCCACACGTCAAGCTCTGTACTCAGCATGGAGTCTGCTTATCTCTCTCCCTCTGCTCCTCCCTGCTGCTCTCTGTCTCTCTTTATCTTCTCCCTCTCTCTCTCTCAAATAAATAAATAAAATCTAAAAAAAAAAAAAAGAAATGACATCACTTTCTCAAGGTCATCAGCCAATAGATGCAGAGCCAGGAGGAGGTGACTCCGGGGTCCACACTCTTCTGCTTTCCAGTTTGTAGAAATGAGGAAGTGAGGCTCAGAGAGGTTCAATAGGTCATATAGGTAGTAAGTGGATGGATAAGTGAGGACTGGGACCTAGGTCTGCCTGGCTCCAAAGCTGGGCTATTCTGAACCCTGTGCTCTTGGGAGAAAAGTCTTGTGCATGAGTAGTCTGGGGCCAGTCCTCCCAGGCTGGAAGGGATGAACCCTATGTTAGAGACTTTTAAAGTTATAGTGTACCAATCAAATGTAAGGGCGGGCATCATCAAGATCATGATTGCTAGTGCCTGTCTTGCTGAGTCTAATTTGGGAGGCTGAAAGACTGGCTTCACTGTATCCGTGATTGATTTGGTTACATGAAACAGAAGCCCACTCCAGCTCTCTTAAGCACACAGTGTAATTCAATCTGAGGAGTCAGGGCTATATCACAGATCTCAAGGGCAGGCGAGTCACACAAGGACCTCGCTCCCGGACTGGCAAGCCATCAGGACGGAAGGCTCTCTGGGAGTGCCCAGCTTCCCCCTCCCACCCCATGCTTCTCTCAGAACACTGGTTTCCTTCCTTTCTCTCAGTGAACATTCTAAGCAGGTCTCCTCTGCACCTAACTGTCTGGGCTCTCCTCGTCCTAATTCTGAAGCTTGGGAATCTGATTGGCCCAGCCTGGCCTCTGCAGTGGTTCCCTCCAAGGCAGGTGCCCACCTCTGGCCAGTCAGCTGGACGAGGAGGGGCTGGATGTATACAACAAAGATGGGCCTCGTTCTCCTTCACTGCCCACGTTGGGGTCAAATCGACACTAATGGACTAAGCAGGTACCCAAAAAGACATTTACTTCCCTTTGGCCTATTCTGGGGACTAGGAGGAGGCCAGAGCTGGTTCATTTTTCTGCCTAGTCATTTCTCAGCGCCAAGCATCTTCAGGGGTAAGGTTTCTCTATCAGGGATCCCAGTGCCTCCAGAAACTCCAGAAGATTCTGGGAGAGTCTAGTGAAGTGTGTGTAGCTTGTGCTTTTGGGGCTGTTTAAGGCTCCTGGGGACCTGCCTACTTGTTTTTCTTAGTCCCTGAAGGATGGTTTACAGACCAATCCTGAGGGATTTCCTGTCTGGCCTCCTGAGTCATGTTCAGAAACATGACAGATAAACCTGTGGCTTTTGACCAGTTACTTCTCCCACAGATTCCATCTGGTGTCCGTGTTTTTCTTTACTGGGTGTGACTCTTTGAACCATAGACTTCTAGAAGTTCAGAACTGGAAGATCACTGCATCCAAATGCCATCCACCTCTCAAATGGGGAAACTGAGACACAGAGAGGAGAGATGGATGAATGCAGAGACACCCAAAGGTGGTCCGGGAGGGGATTTTGGGGCGTATGTGGACAAACAGGATGTTGTTCTCACAGTTGTGCTTAAATAAACTACACTATTGCCCAGACTGTGGCTAAATTCACTGAAGCAAAATAATCAAAGACAAACATCAAGTAAAAATACTTTATACTGGAGAAGGCAAAGTGATGACAGGAATATGGCATGGGTGAAGTTTAGGAAACACGACACTGATGAAAAGTGAGTGAATGAACAAATGAATGAATGAATGCATAGATAATGGGCAACAGTAGAATCTTTGGGTTTCATTTCCTTATAGACTCAGAATTACTTCCCAGTTCTTGCCTTTCAAGTCAGAGGATCACCATGGCCCACAAGACACCAGCCTAACCTCACAGGCACTCTGCCTCTTACTCTGTGAAACAGAAACTGTTTACCATGCTGTTCTTCTTTTTCAGGTCAGCAAATTTGAACTTCAGGGGTAACTGGTCTCCCTTCCAAGGTGGGTGTCTTAGGGTCTGGTTGCCCAGCTCCCTTTGGGACTTGTCCCTAATCTTATAGCAGGGAGGGTCTTGAGGAACCAGATGGGGTCTTTCGCTTCCCTTGGGGATCCCTAAATGCCAGCTCTCTTTCTTGGCAAAACCCTGAGCCTGAGCCAGGACTGAGTAATAGAGGGGAAACCACCCTGGATAGAAGGGGGACAGGCCTTAGTGACCTTGGGCAAGTCCCTGCCAGCCTGCACTGGTCTCAGATGCTTCCTCTGATAAACAGAGAGTTTAAACTCCACCTCTGTGCACCCAATAAACATTTACTGAACTCCTACTTCATTCCTGGCATTTGCTTGGCACATGGGCAGATAAATAGAGGAATTAGACTCAGTGCCTGGAATAACCCAGTCAGGTGGGGTGGGGGAGAAGGCACATATGACATGTAATTACAGATACTTTCGGCCAGTGCTCGGTGACATGGACAGTCCCCACCAGATCTGGGATTCCCAGAATGTGTCAGTCCAGGGAAAAGGACTATGTGATTGACTTGGCAAGATTACAGGGCTGCACCCAGAAAGGTGTTGGCCCTTGGAGGTAAGGGCAGCCCTGGCCCAGCTCCAGATTGCAAACCTGGGGAACATGGGCTTTGGAATCAACCAGATCCAGGTTTCAATCCCGAGCAGAGCCAGTAGTTTCATTCTCTAGGCCTCAAGTCTCTCCTGTTATCAAAGGAGGAAGATGCCCCCAAGCTCCTTAGGACTTAGGAGGCTCCATAAGATGATAGAAGTATAAGGTCAAGAAGTGTGGCACATAAGGCTGGTATGTGGCCTGTGGTTTCACCATCGAGGCAGTTGGTGGGGGAGCTGGACCCCTGCCCCTTCTCTGGGACAGGACACCCTTAGCTGGCTTCCCCAGGGGCAAGGTTTCTTGCTAAAGGCCTCCAACCACAAGAGGACTTGCCCAGCTCTTTCTGGAACCCATAAATGCTAGGGTAGGCTTTCCTCCTCCCAGGCTAGAGTCCTTTCCACAATACCTCTCTGCTTTCCTGATCTGACTGTGAACTTGATATGTGCCTGAGCCAGGGAGGAGACCGGCAGGGCTGGAGCCATGGGTGGGACTCCTCTGGGGGAAGCCTAGCAGGCTGCAGATTCCTTCCTCTCTCCCCAGCAGTGGGGGATGCCTCTGGAGCTGCCTTCTGTTGCCCAACAATTTGCCGAGGACAGGGTGACATCCTTCCTCCCTTCTCGGAGGCAGGGCTGGCTGGCTTCCTAGAAGCAGGCTCCAGGACGCGTCAGATGCACCCAGGGGAGTCAGGAGGAACCTGCTGGTGGGGGGAGCATGGGGCGTCCTAGAGCCCCAGGGCAGCAGTGGAAGGACAGGTTTGCCCACATTCTTGGCAGGCCTCAGGATTGCAAAGCACTTTCTGTTTTTGTCACCATCTGCCAGTCACTTACTCGGCCAAGACCACAGTGCATCAGGCTTTTCAGAGCACTAAGCCCTTCCAACAGCAATTTTCTTCACAGCACGAGAGATGGGCATCCCTGGCTCTGTTTTACAGATGCGGATATTGAGGTCCCCAGAGGAAGAATCACATGTCCAAACTCAGATGGGCTGATGGAAGGGAATTAATGTTTCCCCGAGAACCTGCTACGAGCCAGGCCCCTTCCATACAAGAACCTCCTTTCCACAGCCCAGCAAGACGCCTTGTTCATGTTTTCCCCATTTTACAGAGGAGCCGACCAAAACCCAAACCGGTGAAGGCACATGCCTGGCGTTCCAGGACTAGTAAGCCCTGAGCCAAGATGTGAGCGTGGATTTGCCGGGCTCCAGGTCCTGCTGTGCCCCCCTCCCCTCCGTGGTAAAGGCAAGGAAGCAGAGACTCAGAAAGGTTCAAGCTGGGCCAGGGTCAAGTGGCAACGCTTGCTTTCCACCCGGGCCTAACTCCAGAACTCTTGCCTTTCCCGTGAAACTACATCGTCTCAATAACTTTTGTCGTGAGTAACTGACTGATACCAAATGACCACAAATATGACTCAAAGACATACAGACCCAGGACCGAAAGGGACATGAATTTTATTACTGCCACTGTTGACGCTCTTCTTCATCGCGAACGTAGGATGGCCGGCATGGACATTGTATGGCTCAGACATGCCGAAATAAGACTTGATTGCTTCTACAACTGAGCCCGACTTGATCACAGCAACCTTCCCCCCAGTTTTCTTTCTGGGTGAAAGTGGATTCTCTGCACAACAATGCAATGCATGATCCTGCATTTTCTTTTGTTATAAAGGACGTTTGCGGGCAACCAGTAAAATCCGAAGTCAGTCTGTAGCTTAGATAATAGTACTGTAGAATAGTGATTCCCCAATTTTAGTAATTGTTCTGTGGGCATGTAAGAGGCTGTCCTTGTTTTTAAGAAATACACGTTGAAGTAGTTAGGAGTAAAGAGGTATCGTGTCTGTAACTTTTAAATATTTCAGAAAAAAACTATGTATGCACCGCAGAAAAATACGCAGAAGGGTAAAACAAATGTGGTAACATGTTATCATTTGGGGAATTGGGGTGAAGAAGGGTATCTTGGAATTCTTTGCACTATTTTTGTAACTTTTCTATAAACCTGAAATGGTGTCAAGAGCAAAAAATTTAAATAAAAAAATGTACTCTTGTTCAGTGCGGGGGCCGGGGAGGGGGAGTTGAATTAGGATCCAAACTGTGTATTAGAATTGCTCCATCTCTTGGTGGTGCCCACTCCCCACCCCTCAGGATGACATCTGGTAGCAGAGCCTTCTGTGACATTGGGGGCCTGGGCTTCTGGGCTTGCTGGCCCTGCTGGCTGCCTTGCCCTTTTGGGTCTCTGGGGTCAGCCTCACTCCCCATCACTTCTCTGCTGGCATAGCTGGTCCAGCCTGGCTCTGGGCCCTGAGCGTGACTTTGCAGTCATGACCTCTTGGTGTCAAGGCTGTGCCCTCTGAGCCCTTCTCATCCTGACCCCAAGGCTCTCACAATCCATGTCTTATCAGTGTTCGGATACGCCCCACTGGAAACTTCTGATGCTTACCATGACCCACAGAGGCCTTAGGGGAGTCAGGCCCCCTGTGAGTCAGTCCCATCAGGAAAACGGAAATCACATTGGCTGTTTTCTTAATATAAGGAATTGGCTAAACGGTATTGGACAAGTGGAAAACCAAACAGTGAGATATCAGAGGTATAACTGCAGGAAACAGATACCGCCCCTCAGGATGGGAAGACAGAAGAAGAAGCTGAGATTATTAGAACCTAGAAACTGGAGCCCCGACCCCTGACGAGGGCGCGCCTCTGGACAGTGCTGATACCTCCAACAGGCCTCAGTGAGGCTGGTTCTGGGAATGTGTAAACCAGTTGTTACTGGAACCAGTTGCCACTGCCAGGGTGAAGGGCTGCTGGGAGGTGACGCTGCCACAAGGAAGAGCGAGCAGAAAGCCTCCAATCCTCTGCCCTGCATCCAGTCTTGAGCTCTCTAGTGCCCCCTATGGACACAGTCTGCCATGGCAACAAATGTCTCCGGACAGAAGAGAGACGTGGGTTTGGGGTTAAGAGCTCACAGCTTATGGGACGCCTGGGTGGCTCAGTGGGTTAAGCGTCTGCCTTCGGCTCAGGTCATGATCCCAGGGTCTTCGGATCGAGCCCCGCATCAGGCTCTCTGCAGGTTGTGCTTTCAAATAAATAAATAAAATCTTAAGAAAAAAAGAGCTCACAGCTTAATAATCAGCATTGACCTGGGAAGGGGTGGGACGTGGGGTGGAGCTCGGCAGAGTGAATGTGAGGTCCTCTCCCTATATAAGATTTACTGCCATTGCACAAGCATGACTTCCATGGGGGCCCAGGGCCATCTGTGAGGCCATGTGCTCTCCAGCACCAGGGGAAGCCTCTGGGCTCTGGGCTCTTCTATCTGCAGCAGATTCGAGAGGCAGGCTCCAGGCTCGAATCCCATGCTCTTGCTCTCCTTCGTCTCAGTTTTTCCACCCAGATAGGAAGAGCTCCCTGTCTGACTCGAGAAACTGCCTGCTCTCTGACTTCAGCAAAACTTGTATTCTCTGGGTCGTCCGAGTTTGATTGAAAGTTTTCTATGAACGTTTATTTAAAGAGAAGATTCTAGAATTCTGGAAAAAAAATTTTTTTTTTCCTCTCCTATATATGTTGACTCTTACAATTGAATGCCTGGCTTTCAAAGCAATTTTGCTTCGGCCTCTTTCAAAAGTCCAATTTGACATTCAGCAGCGAACAATGACTTCTTTCTCCAAGGCTGTTCTCTGCCGCCCCCTCAGACAATGAGTGAAGGACCATTAAACAGCAAGAACATTTGGGCGAAGAAAAAAAACTCAATTTAAAAATTCCCAATATTATCCTACTCAAATAACGCGGATTGAGTACTAACTCTGCACTTGGCGCCATGGCAGACGGCATCCTGCTTGTCCTCTCAACAGCCCTGGGAGCAAAGTACAAAGGTTTCTGTGACTTCACAGCCTGAGCTTCCCCGCTCCCCCACTGTGCTACACTGCCCTTTGGGGCCAGTTCTATCCTCTCACCTTATGGAAAATGGAGACTCAGAGACTCAGAGGGGGCTGAGCAGACCAGGAAAGAACACAAGTTCTGGAGCAGCCTAGCCTTGGGCAAGTCACAGAACGTCTCTTTATATAAAGTGGGGATGTTGTCAGGATTTAAGATAATGCACAGCAAGTTTTGGGCACAGGGTTTACAAAACAACAGGTATTTGATGAATGGTAATACCATTACGACTGCTACTAATAAAAACAATAATAAACAGAGTTGACTGACACAGGGCTGAGCACTTTACATGTGTTAATTATTTCAATGCCCACGATCTCCCTCCATTCATGCTGGGAGACTCTCCCACCTCCCACCCAGCCCTATTGGGAAACCTCCCAGGTTCCGTGCTGTTCGTGCTAGGCTGCACGCTGAGGTCACCGCTCGGAGCAGGGAATGAGACCAGCCACAAGGAGGACATCGTCCATTGCCCTGGACTGTGCATCCATCGGGATGACTGGAAACATCGATGCAGCCCATGGTGTTTCGTTAGTGGTTTTTCTTTCATTCAGCACTCTGAGTGTCGCATAACTGCAGTTCCCAATCTTCGTGAGGATGAACACTTTTGTGTGTAATTGTGATTTTTGTTATTCTTTATACTATTATTTTAGATTTACCCAAGAGTTACAAAAATGGTACAGAGAGTTCACCAGCTTCCCTTAATGTGACATCATGCTTCATAACCATGGCACATTCATCAAAACTAAGAAATTGACTTGGACAACACTATTAACTACAGCTTTTATTCGGATTTCACCAGTTTTTCCACTCATGTCCCTTCTGGGTTCCAGGACCCCATTGAGGGTCCCACACTACATTTGGTCATCATGTCTCCTTAGGCTCTTTCAGTCTGTGACTGTTTCTCAGTCTTTCCTTGTTTTTTTATGATGTTGGCTTTTGAAGAGCACTGGTCAGGTCTGCTGTGGGATGGCCCTGACGCTTTGTTCCAGGTTTCTCATGATTAGACCGGGGTTGTGGACTGGGGTGGGGAGAATATCACGGAGGAGAGGTGGCCTTCTCCTTGCATGCTCTCTGAGGCTCTGTCATAGCAATGTGTCTTGTTATTGGTGATGTTAACCTTAATCACTTGGCTAATGTAATGTCTGCCAGGTTTCTCCCCTGTAAAACTTTCTATTTTTTTTTTCTTTTCCATACTTTAGAAGTGAGTCACTAAGTCCGGTCCTGGGGGGAGGGAATTAAGCTCTGCTTCCCAGAGGGAGAAGTATCAAAGAACCTGTGGACATCTTTTAAAGCCATGATGGAAATTAATATTTTGAAGAAGATACTTTGAGGCTAAGCAGATGTTTTTTTCTCCTTAAAATTTCCCTTCCTGTTTCGCATGCATCAGTAATCTTGCCTGCAGCAGTTAGTAACGTGCTCTGGAAGAATACTTTTAACATAAAAAAAAAATACCATGGTATCCATTGTTTGTGAAAATTTATAATGTCAATAAGCTATTGTGAAATCAGTTTTTATATTGTATAAACCACAAGAAAATCTACACGGTCTAGCTGGATTTAAAACATATTGCATTCAGGGCTGACTCAGAGCTGGGACCCACCACTGAGGGCACATAGGCTTGGGATTATTGAAATACTTCTGCCCTCATTGGTAACTAGTGACTGCCTCCACCCCACTCCAAGTCCCACCCTCCCCAAGTCTTTGGAAATTTCTCCTCATGTCTCCGCAGTTAAAAGGAAAAAAAAAAACAAAAAACACCAAACTCTAGGCATTTCAGTTATGATGAGAACATATCGAAGTCTGTTATAATCTCACTCTGCAACGGGAAAAGTCTCCAGCAGGGCGATTCAAAGATTCACCCTTGGGAGAGACATTTTATGGGAAAAGAGAAGGACTAGAATAATTTTTGTTAGATTAGCAAGAAAAAGAGAATATTGTCTGATTGTCAGTAAAGCAGGAGCATGGGATTTGCCAATGTGTTTGGGGAGGATTTTGCAGATTTGACATCATTCAGCAAATAAAGCATTCATTTTTCCACAGGACTGGAGCCCTCCTCATCCTTCATGCCCAGCTCGGGGCTCGGGACCTTCCACTCTGTGCTGGGCGGGCTATGAAATACTTTGAAGAGAATGCCAGTTTTGCATATATACACAAGACATGTTAAATAATCAGCCTGCAGTTCGCTTCATGTACAGTTTGATCCAACTCAGAGAAAGCAGGCTTTTGAGCCAAAAAGAGCTAGTTTTGGAAACCGGTATAAAATAAAAGTCTTGGAACAGTCTAGCATGGGGCAGCTTATCACTTTTTATAAATGAGGGGTGTTTTGAGGATTTGAGATAATGGACGGGAAGTTTTTAGCGCCGTGCCTGGGAAATAGTTTGATAAATGGGAAGGCTATTCTTAACAACGATAAACATTTATTGACCAGTCAGTTACTATGTCAGGCACAGGGCTCAACACTTTACATGTATTATTTATTTTAATCCCCATAATAACTCTATGAGTTATGTGCTTTTAGTATCACTCCCACTTCACAGATGAGGAAATCCTGCCTCAGAGAATTCAAGTAACACATCTTAAGTTCACACAGGACGTTGATAGAGCTGATTCAAGCCCAGGCAGCCTGACATCAATGCCTCTGTGATAAACACACAGCACGCATGGGTGCTCACTAATCCCTGGCAATAACCTGAAAGCCTTCCAGAATTCTATAGCCCTCAGGTTGGGAGCTCCTGCTATAGGCTACACAGAGACCTTTGGCTTCTTATGAAATATTTCTGACATCAGCGGGCTTTGGTACTTATTTTTATAACTTTATAGCAAGAGCAAGACAGATTAAAAAGGCACAGAAATTCACGCAGTTACCCAGAAACAAACATGAAATAAGATACTTAGCTGGCAGAGTGTAACTGTCTAGAAACGCGGTCTCCGGGTGTCCATTGGAGAATAACTGTCCACTCATCCATTTCTTAGATCTTACAAACCTTCCTAAAAGTCTGAAGGTAACAAACCATGTGCAAAC